TTATATATATGTAAATAGCACTACAAAGGTGTGGTCTATTTTCTCTCTTCTTGTGTATGTAAGTAAAAAATACAATTTTTCATTGCCTTCTTGTATAATTTAGAAGGCTATGAACTTTTATATGTTTTGTTTTGTTTTGTTTTTTAAAATTAAAATGGCTTTTGTTTTTTTTATATGATGGATCTTCTTGGTAGGATTTTCTATTTAAAAATTGCTGTTTGAGAATGTGTGATGCTCAAACTTTGCTTTTCCATTGTCCCAAACCGCATCCGGTCTACCCACAAAGGTATGTTTCATTTAGAAGAGGCTATGAAACTGAAGTTGTACTGGCTCAAGTACCGAACTATTGTACATGTGCACTTTACTGGTGGCCTGTGGTGGGCACTCTGGGCAGTTGTGCACTCAAATGTTTGTATAAATATGTTAGAAAAATAATTGTCTTAAAAAAAGCATGGTGTACGGGCATTATGTTGAGATTTGAGAACAATGTGAGATGGGAAGATGTGTGGCTTTAGGCAGTACGTGAGGCCCTGAGGGGCTGAGGCCTAACCACATAAAGTTTTACGTTGCAACGTATAAGTAAAACGTGGTATTTTTATATCCACAAAATAGTTCTGAAAATATATATAGGGTCATTCGCCAGGTCAAATGGTTGGACCTATTTTTACCCGTCGAAGTCCTACGGACATTAATTCGTTCAGCCATATTTTCTTGCTTCTCTAGAGAGGGACATGCAAAAGCTATATGAGCATGTGCTGGAATATCGCTTCCCCAAAGAGCCCGGCAATTGTCAGTGATTGGTCAGTTGCGCGGTCAGTTGCGCGTTCCGTGGCCAGAATATGGCTAAAAGGTGCATCTTCAAGGTCGAAAAATCAAATTATTTCAGGCCAATATATTTGCAAAAACGCAACGTTTAAAAATCAAAAAGTATACGTAAAACGTTGTACTTTTATTTCTACGATGCCTTACCTTTAAATGAGGTTAGGCTGAGGCCCATCCTCTTGGTCTCTATGTACCTATTAAATATTCTCTCTCTCAATTTCTCAACTACTCTACTCTCTAGACAGTAGAGAGACAAGAGAGGGAGTATATATAGGGAGAATCAAAGAGAGCCTCCGAGGGCCCGAGGCCCGAGCGAATGTGTTTCGAGGAACGATGGTCAGTAAAAGCCTAAAAGGTCATGCAGAAAATTCCTGAACTTCAACTCGTTTTACTCTTTTTTTAAAATGCCTAATAGCAAAATATAAATACAGTCGAGGTCCGACTGTCCGAGTCTCCGTCTCTCTCCGAGAGACCAAGACTGTAGAGAGTAGAGAGTATGTACAACAAACATTTCAGTTTTACATTAAAAATATATGTGATTCGCTCAGATTGTGACATATACTGTTGTCAGTTGTATCACATTCTCATGTGACATGAGTTGTTGAGTACATGACACACTCAGACATAGCACACACTCACTGACACAGTACAGTGAGTCAGTGACTACTGACTCCTGAGTACTGACTACTATTAGTAGTAGAAGAGAGAGAGTAGAATGTAGAATGTGGAGTCAAGACCTAAGAGAGTGTAGAGTGCAGTAGCAGAGAGCAAAAAAAATCGAAAAACTATCTCTATGTAAATATGAGAGCAGATCAGATATGCTGTACGTATTTCAGTATTTAACACGTGTGTATAGTGTATGGATATTCAAATACTGTATACTAAAATTGAAATTCTTTAAAGTTTTGTATACCTCATGAAAACAATTGTTTGATGCTTTTTAGCCGTTGGAATAGCTTCGACTAATTTTTGAAAGTTTTGTATGCCTTCGGGAAATGACTGTTCCTTGCTATTGCTTTAGAATATACCCTTGGATCATTCTTTTAAAAATTGATTCAATCGCATACATAGTTTGTTGACTGGCATATGTTGAATGATTGTACACGCACTGTCAATCGCGTATCCTCATTCGGCACGCATTCCAGTATTTGACGTACTAATTTTTGAAAGTTTTGTATGCCTGCTGAAAATGACCCTGATTCGGATTGTAATATTATTAAATTTTAAAATACGTATTGCTGTGCACTGCGTTATTTTTTTAATGAGTTTCCTCTCCGTCTTGACTCTGAAAACAATTCATATCAAAACTCTTTACGGAATCAGTTTCCCAGCCATTTTACGTAAACTACATTTATTTAAATATGTCGATGTGCGTGCGAGTTAATTTATCACACAGAGGCAATCATAGGCTCAGCGGAATGACAGCCGCTCGCTAAACACCCAACAAAAAATCAACCGGTAGGTAGTTCTGGTTTCTCTACATATTCCAATTCATCTTTGATATAGAAGAGAAGATAGCCTTCGCTCGTAAGTACATCTTCTACCCGAGCGTGCGTAATTACCGAGTCGTCGCACCGGAACCACTGCTTTTAGGGACAGATTAAGTAGGTTATCGTAAGTCACTGCTATCTGAACAGTATTTCCCCAGCAATTATTTTACAACAATATTGCAGTCGAAGTATTACTTATTTGCTTAGGTATGTCATTAACCAACTAATACAATACACTGGGATTCAAGCTCGGCTCGCGAAATCAAAAGTAATAGAATCGATACACAGCTGGCAACTAGCACAGCCCTCTGATAGGTCTACATACTGTCAGCATATATGAACTTAAACAGCCAAAATAGTGCGAACACATACACACCTGATCCGCATGCCTGACAAAGCTTGTGTAGTGGCCAGAGTGTAGTGTGCCGTGATGGTTCACAACAGAGAACAAGGAATAGTCTGCCCTCGTTTTAGATAGACTTCCTTGTTGGTGCGTACATTTTCCCCTCCCATTTATGGTAACATTTTGATTTGAAATTTCACTGTGCGTGATACAAAGGTATCAGAATTTTTGGGTCGGGGGTGCCATGGTAGGCGTGAATACCATCTATCTACGACAACATTAAGATATCAAAATCATTACGATGTAGCCTGGCAGTGCATAGATTATCGTACACATGTAAATGTATGAAAATTCGAGAAATTACCTTGGTTCATCTGTGGATAAGTATGGGCCGACATCCAGATGCAACGGGAAGTCTATCCTCGTTTTGATTTTCGTAGATGTATTCGAGTAGCTGCCAAATCTCTGCAGTATCAGATTTAACGAAGCACAAACTGTAATTTAGAATTCCCCCTCGTAATGACGGGGTATGTGTACGCCTAAGCTGTATGCATGATCGCCAGCAAATAATTAAGTCGGATAACTGTTTCAACATACGTGTAATTTATTGTACACACTCCGCACGAAGCGATTTATATATATCACGTTCAAGTTCTGGTGCATTATTTACAAGTGCCCTTCACATACAGCCCGAGCGGAAAAACCGCTATGAGTTCAGCATCAGCTTTCATATGAATACACGCATGCCAGACTCTACACGCACGCCAGAGATGTTCAAGTATTTTGGGAGTGCGACAACACATGTCCCACATCCAAACAACAAGAAAAGTTGTATTGCGATCACGGCCAAGAAAAATCAAGTGAAATAAGAACCGCGCAAAGTGACAATTGTCTTGGCAGAGAACAACATTGTTTCAGTTTCTGATACCTAGCAATAGGCCGGCAAGGTATCAAGGTTCACAGACTTTATCTAACACATACCTTGAGATGGAAGCAAACGACGACTGGCAAGTGCAGTAGAGTTAATTGTTTGCTCCGCTCCTGTGGTTACATAAATCGAATTCGTATTGTGAGACACACATTTTTATGCTGATTGATTTGGCATAGCATATCGTAAGGCAGGAAAGGCATACACAAGAACGAGGGGGGGAACCCAAAACTGTATGGTTAATGTTCAGCAATCAAACAAGTGGTAGTGGCTGCCATGCGAAAAATATCTCAAGTAATATGTGCGCACTCCCGCAAACATCCAATATTGAAGAAGGCTGTTGTGCCTACCGTTGCCGTGACAAATGACCAACCCCAGAAAACAAGTCTTAAAAACTACATGTGTAACACATGGCATGGCATCGTCATGATTACACAAGTTTCTGTAAGCTTGCAAAAACTGGCGTTGACTTTACCTGTAAACTTTTGCAGGTGCCGCACATAAGCTTTGAGTCACTTCCTAACTTTTCAGGATGTGTGAACCTGTACACATTCCAAAGAAAAGAAAACATAAGTTAATTCCACAAAAAACCTGTTTGCAATTACCAACCAGAACACTACACAGTATGGAAGTGAGTTAATCCGGAAGCCTTGACGGACAAGCAGCCCAAAACAACTGAGCGGGACTAGATTACGTATGTTCACGGCGACAAACTGAAATAGCGACGGATCACCTTTGAAATCTTATGTAAACATACCTCTCCAGACACTCTATAAGCGACTGAGGAACGCTGCTCCCTGCTTGTTTGTACTGTTTGATTAAAAATGAGCGGAAAGATATATTTAACGGTGTATGCGTAAGCAAAGTTTGCATTGTACGTAAATCGAGACTATGTGTGGCGTGCGCACACAGTAAAAGCTTCGAGGTCTCACTTAGCGATGTCTTTTAAAATTCATGCCATCAAGCGTGCGTGTACACCATGCGATGTACCCTAAACATCACACTTTCTCATATAAGTATGCATTATGAAGTTATGGCGAAAGCACCACAAATCAATATAAGAATGAAATTGAAATATCCCAGTACACTTCGATAGAGCGAGGTTCACCAGATAACATACATTATTTGTCGAATGAAGATCCAACGATATATCCCAGAAAGGTTCGATTGTAGCGCTGACAGTTCCGCAGCTCAAACACCTTAGATCCGACTGTATTGCGCCAGTAAAAATGCGATGGATGATACACTTGCAGTTTTTTGATGTCCCTGTTTCGGTATAAGGCATTGAAGCGAAAGTCATGACGGACAAAGAAAATACACTGCCATTTTAAATATATATAACCCTATCTTAGTAGTACATGATTATTGTAAAATTATTTCGTTCAAAAGCTTGCGGTGACTTACAAATATTAATTTTTCGCCACCAATACTTTAATCAACGCATGTACTGGAAATTGTCACATTCAAAACAACACTGTGTACACTATTTCAACTTACCTTGAAAATGGAGATGGAGACCGTTTAAGAATGTGATGAAGAACTCGTGTGCATCTTGTTGCTCGTAGCCCGCCAAATGATGTGCATGGGTCCACACCGAATGCAGCAACTGATGTGGTGAATATGGTTTGATCTCTCCTTTGAAGAACTGAGTGGTAGGGTGGATACGGGGAGTGTGCGAAAGAGAAACGATGGACAGACAGGCAATCCGGGAACATACAAGTTGCGGCTGAGAGCGTCGTGTATAAAGTCCTGCGTGCAGGAATTCGAGGGTGTGCAGAACCAAACAACAGCTGGCCGGATGCCCAGACCGTAGACTGTGGAAAGCGTAAGAATGGATATCGGCCGAGTGTAGGTGGGGTATTGTGAGATACTATAGACTCATGCATACATAAACATCATTGGCGAGCGACTATTTCTGTGCCGTCTTGCTGATGCACAATCCTGAATACACAATACATAGCGTGGTGTGAATCTAAGACCACCCCAAACATGAACGTGACTAGTAAATATATGCATTGTGCTGGAGAATAGGAGAAACGTTGATTGATACTAAATATTCTGTACACAGCATATACCTGCGTGAATATGAGATTTAATTCGCACACTAGGCACACTTTGGAGTCGCCACTCAATCGGCGCATACATCGGTCTTTACGGTGCGATCCACTGAGGAAGAAATTGCGCAGCGGTGGATTGTGTACAAACGCTTGTAGCACACAGCTCATAAAGCACGTGTTGCCTAAATTGTTGAGACCGCGCAGACCTGCGCAAAATTCAGATTGAAGATATGGAACGACCAGTGCGTTAGCCGTACTAAAGTGTACGAGTTAAAATGGGTTGCTTTGTATGAACAAACACTCTGAAACCGCTCGAGGGCTGAAAATACGCACACGAATGAAGCGCAGAGGCTAGCAATGTCAAAATAAGAGAGTTCTGTATTGAGATTGGGCGCTGCAACGCATATCACGGATCCAGATACTAATCATGAACACTCGGACGTGGATGTTTGACTCAAGTCTAAGATCATTTACAAGCAGAGATGCACGAGTATATAAGCACTGCAAACAAAGCAGGCTGGTGAGCACACCTAAAGAGCTGTATTCGGTTAACCTTGGTCGTTTGGAATGTTGATTAAGTATCGCCTTCTCGGTACCATCCGGTACCCACTCGGAAAATGCGGTACGCCGGAAATTACTGGGATCTATATACAAGATGTTTGGGTTAATCTTCAGAACAAGGCTTTGGGAACTGCTATTTGAAATAAACATTTGCTGGCAAGCGAAATGACCTGAAAAACATATACGGCAACAGTCACTGCACAATGTAGGATGAACCGTAAAGCACTCAGGAAAACTTCAGACAGTCGGCTTTGCAATATGAGATTCTAATTGCAACTGATGGCACACTCGCACTCGTATGGTAAATACTAGAAGCACATATGATCAGATGGCACCGACGACGAGTGAAAGCAGAGCTGGCATACACACACCTGAACGTTTAAGGTCACTTAACGCAGCTTGTCGTTGCTCATTTATAATCACTCGATCGATATCCACATCGTACACGTACTCTCCGCAAACAAGGCAATACACAGCATTATTGGCCACGTCGATTGCTGGAGGATTGTAAAAACATTATGAAAATTCTGTTCAGCTACAGGTGCGAATTAAATCCAGTATTGTAGGCGAGTGTTCGACAAGCTGGCAACACTGTGAATTCGATTGCATATAGCACAGCTACAAGACCCTGTTTGGGGAAGGATAAATTGAACGGCAAGATCATACATCCACTATGCGGTAGTAATCGGACGTGCAAGCTTCTTTGAACATCAGCCGATTAAGATTGGAGTACTGACGTATCAGTAATGAAGTAAGAGGGGAGATTGATGCTTGGGTACTAACTTTTTGTGTTCCAATTGCGACAAACTTACCCAGCTCGTGCTTAGTTTCTTTGTAATGTTGTTTCAGGTGCTCCTTCCTTCGGCAGTGATAGGAGGCGCAAGTCAAGCAAGCATGGAGGTTACCGCCTATATCTCCGCACGTTCGACAAGTTGGTGTATAGTCGCTCTATCAATGTGAAAACAGGGTGTCACATATAACGGCATTGATATGAAACCTTTCAAAAAGTGATGTTGCACCAAATCAATCAATTGCAATTTCCAACGAGGCGACAAGTTCGGGATATAACGATGATTTAAATTGGGAACTGATTATGGGCATTTAAACATCCTTTTTTTTCACACAGCAGGATGGATGAACATTACTCCATGAATAATTTCAATTTGAATGCGGGTATACAAGCGAATGCGACAAAACTATAAACCAGAACGTTGGAATACACATAGAGCTTGATCGTCTATTACTGCACACCTTATTCTCTCGGAAATACTGGGAGCATTTCTTGAACGCCTTCAGTTGCTCAAGACCTTTTTTCTGAGTCAGGGTACGTGCGTGCTTACACCCTTTGTAGTTTTCACGGTAAGTAATCGATTTAAGCGACGCCATCTCCACCACAGGCTACTGGCCTTGCCAATCCGTCACGTGTCTGCGGTGCCTCTCCGCCTCTAGTTTGAAATTTCCTGTGGTGTGATGTAGCGATGGATGTTCAAGCTTTTGTTTTAAGTAATGTTGAAATATGCGACTATGGAATCATCCTACACATTTTTGTAAATCTCTTACACATCAGGCACAGTCTCTAGCCTCCAAAACCTACTGTAATTTAAAAAAGATATATATATATATATATATATATATATATATATATATATATATATATATATATATATATACTACGTAGTACGTACGTACGTTACGTTAGTTACGTTAGTAC